ATGCGGGCGGCGCGGGCCCTGGGAGGGGCGCCCGCAGCCAGCCACGCAGCATGCACTGGGGGGTTGGCTTTGCCTCGTCCAGGCCGTGCGTGGTGGATCTGAGCTGGAACCAGAGCGTCTCCTTCTTCGGCTGGTGGGCCGGGTCCGAGGAGCCCTTCTCCTTTTATGGGGACATCATCGCTTTCCCTTTGCAGGATTGCGGTGGGATCATGGCAGGGCTGGGCTCCGATCCCTGGTGGAAGAAAACCCTTTACTTGACCGGGGGAGCTTTGCTGGCCGCAGCTGCGTATCTGCTCCACGAACTCCTGGTCATTAGGTGAGCCGGAGAGAGGGCCCGGTGGAGGGACACCTGGCCAGGGCAGGACTGGTGCGCGGGGGGACCCGTGCCAGCCCCCTGGGTCGTGCCACCCAGATGCCCAAGAGCCCTGCCCCTATCTTCCCCCCAGAGGTAGTCCTTGGTCGCCTGGCCATGCGGGGCACTTTAGAGTTGACAGAATTACCGCGGGTTGGGAGGGAAAAATATTTGCTTCCCAATCTTTTGGTGCTAAATGCAAAAATTATTTGGGTTGTGTTGTCTGTTATGAAAAGCTCTTGGGGAGATCTTTCAGTGCAGTTTGCACAATAGAATTAGGCCCTGTAGAATACTAAGTTACTTTTTTTTTTTTTTTAATGAATCGCCTTGTTTGTAAACAATAATACTCAAGGCTTTATCAGGAATCCTATCTTTTACTTAATGGTTAGTTCTCTAACTCCTTCCTCAAATGTCAACATCACCACAAGGCTGAAATTGTAAAAGCGCCAGAGACCTCTGGGTCCCTGTTAAAGATGCTTGTTTAAGGTGCAGCTCTAATGCAGCCTGAACTTGGTTATTTGCTGATTTTGTATGGAAAGCTGGTCACCAGGTTCAGGTTTAAATGCCATTGTGTGAGCAGTAGAAGATCTGAGGACTGGGTTAGCACATGGGTGGAGAAGATGGGAGTCGCCCAGTGCCGGAAACAGTGCATTTTCTGCCTGCCGCAGAATGTTTACAGGATTAATTTGGAAATAGCAGAAAATGGAGGCCCCTGCATCCAGCCTGACAGATGCTTGAGTAGGGCTTTACCTTGGGGTCCTGGGAGGGCTTTTCTGCTAATTGATACACCAGGGTAAGGTGAAGAAAATATCCATGCCTTTGAACCTTCTCACTGGAAGATGATCAGAAACATTTTTTTCAGTGTTCTTCTTGGCCAGTATTTTTTTCTAAGCAGTGAGAAATGTATCCGCATTTCCCTCTTTTTCAGTGGGGAAATCCTGCACAATAGGTTATGAACAAATGCAGTGATGGGTGACCTTTAATAGGCTTGCAGGGATTCCAGGAGGACATGACAACTGCCTGCTTAGGTATTTTGGGTATTTCTGTTCTCTGCCATGGTGGGAAATCATTTGGCCCGAGGAAATATATTGACTTTCATAGTGTTTAACCATTATTGAGAAGTTTTAGTTTAAACTTAGCATACATTGAATTATCTCATTTAGCACAGTGCCTTGAAGCTAGTTGAACTAAAAAAAAATGTAAGTGAATTATCTTTAGATTGCTTTATAGTTTAGCTAGTTTTAGAACTTTATTTCAAGTTAGGTTTCAAGTGATAGGAGAAAGTAAAACATTTGTAGAGCAACTTAAATGGTAACCTCCTCCTGTGTTTCAATTATACCTTTTGAGGATCCTGACCCATGTGGCTTCTCACCAGTTTTCCACTTTCTGGGGGGAGTGAAGTACAGCTAAACCTTGCAGAAATGACCTTGCAGAAATAGCAGGACTCTTATAGCTCACCCAGGGAGCAGGCCACACCCTGGGGGTGTGGTTATTGACTGCAAAAAGAGTGCTTTGTTCACACTTAGGACCTTCCCCTCCTGGGGGACTGCTTGGATACTTATTTGGGTTAAGATAATATTAATCCTTGGCTTATACACTTTTATTTCTTGACAGATGCTTAAATTGTGTTGGAACACCCAGCTATAATGCAAATAAAAATGACCGCTTATCTTTGAGCCTTACTGGTACTGTGCATATAAGTGCTTTATATGCTTGATTGCATTTGTCCTTCACACCTCTTGTTGGATGCTTGGTCCCCATTTTATAGATGAGGAAATTTCAGCTGGAGGTTGAGCTACTTGCCCAAGAGCACACAAGAGTGGTAGGATTCGACTGAAATCTGGGAATGTGTGTCGCTGGAGCCTACACTTTTTAGCTGCTTCCTCCTAAAAACTTTGAAATAAGTTTTGATGGGAGAAGAGGAAGAAGGATGTAGTGAACTCATTCTTGGAGGTTCTGGGAGGACAGATCTGACTGAGCCCTGCATTTGTCACAGCTTCTAGGGGTGTAGAAGGATGAGGGAAGTCCAGACCTGAGCTTCTAAAGGGTCTCTTAACCTCCACTTAAAGTGAAGTCCAAGTGTCAGTTGTCTGTGTAGTTTAGATAAAGCACAACATAATCTGAAATATGCAGAATTGAAAATACACCTTGAAATGGCTCTCCTATTTGAGTTCTCTGGTAATTGTAAGGTTTTTATCTCCCCACTTTTTTTTTCCCCCTATAAAGTTGACTGATGAGAATTATTTAGGACATTTAATTAATAAGTCTAACCAAAGTAGTTATTTTGGATTTTACCCATTTTTTTCCCCAGCATAACATTTTAAAACAAATACAGTCCCAGTCACTCACATATATTCTCCCTGAGTGGAGGTAACCTAGCAGCTTTTCTAAGTTCACTTAGGCATTTGGAAATGTGCACTGTTTGTTGAAAGAGGAAGTCATGACTTACTGGTAGCTCATTTGCACTTTGGCACTTAGGTCTGTCCTAGAGAGCATTATTAAGGAGCATGGGCCGAAATCCAGTCTCCCCAAACTATTAACCCAGCAGCTGTACATACATATTGGCGCAGGGGCAGTGACTAGTCTCGCTGCTCTTTGGATGTGCTCCCTCCCATCGCCCTCTCTGTAAAGGCCTCTTCAGAAACTGTTACCTGCCACAAAATGGCTCACTTGCTTTTCTGATCCTAAGTTAGAAACAGGTTCCTAATGTGTGGAGAGAGCCAGATTGGACTCAAATTCACCCTGCCTTTCACCAGTTCATAACCTTGCCAAGAGGGTAAGCGGCTTGGCTACTTAGTTTTCTCATCTGTGAAATGGGATAATAGAAGTTTTCCTTGCAATGAGTTAACACATCTAAAATGCTTGACATAGAGCTTGATATATAGTGAATATTCAATAAAAGTTGGCTATCATAACTTTTCATCAAGAATTTCCAGGCTTGAGTGACCTGAGTCATACTCTTTTAGTAAAATTATCTGAGGTAGTGCCCATTTCGATAGAGTTGAAGGGCTTAAGAACTGTGACTTGATCTTTAATTGATATTTAACTTAATGAATAACTCGGGCAAGTTATTTAACCTTTCTGAACTTTAGTTTCCTTGTCTACTGTGAGATATAAGAAAAGTATATATTAAATTGAAACTGTAACAGTCTCCACTCTGTAGTGTTACTGTCAGGATAAATAAATTAATATGCATGATGCATATTAATTTATTTAATAAATGCTTGTCAGTTAGCATCTACTTTGTTTTGATGTGGTCTAAGTTAACCAATACAATTAGGATGTGCTAGGCCGTGAAGCAGAGGACATTTAATCTCTTCTCCTTTCAGTTCTTAAAATTTTGCTTAGATAATTGACATGAATTATTTGACTAGACAAAATCAGTTACTTAATTGTCACATCTGTACTTTGTGCTGTCTAGGAACATAGTCTAAGAGGCTGCTTAGTTTTAATAACTGACCCCCCCAAACATTTCATCTAAATGAAAATTTGTTCTTTAGCAAATGTTTCCAGAAAGCAGCAATTTAAAAAATTCTTTTGACTAGCCTTTTCCCAAAAGAGTCATTAAGTAGAATGGGTACTCTGGCAGTAAACTCCAAAAGGGTTTGTTTTACCCACTGAATGGAGATGGTGCGGTAAGGGTGCAGAGAGATTGCCCTTGTTTGCTCTGGTAGAAGTAGATGTGGGATTAACTTAGAAAGATATAGGGGAACCAGAGGCTCAGGGGGCTAGGAGGCAAGAGCGAGGTTCAGCAGATTGGAAAAGTCAAAGATGGAAATTGCAAAACGTCCTAGAAAGGTGGTGTATGCGTTGGGGCTGTGAGGAATGAAGAGATTTTCTAACTGTCTGTGAATAACTGAACAAGAATCAGTTCTACCACGCCTACCTAATGCCTTACAGTTTACCAAATATTTCTTATTTAATACTCACATTGATTTATGAAGTACTGTCTTGCTTTCTGGTGAGGAGGAGAGGCCTAAGGTAATATGGCTACTGGGAAGTAGGGCTCACACATGACCTTAGGGGTCCCCATTTGGAGCCCAGCTTTTGTTCTTACCACCACATGGTGGCTATCAAAAAGTTCTCTACCCAAAAAAGTCCCCAGAGGGAAAGTTGGATGTGTGGATGAGAGAAGAAAGTAAAAAGCAGATCCATGCTGTGTGCTGAAACTGAGGGCCCTTGTGAAGGCATAGAAAATGAGAGCTCAGAGCCTGGTTCTTTCACACCACTGGTGACAGGCCAGAATATTGAGTCTCAGTTTCCTGCAGACCTGGCTCATGGTGAGTAACTGCCCTGTTGTTCCCAGGTCCTATGGGTGCACATATTGTTTGATGGTAGAATATAGTGGTTGAGAACAAAGGTTCTGATTACCTGGTTCACTCAAGATTCTGCTTTTTTTTTTTTAAGATTTATTTATTTATGCATATAGAACCGGGGTAGAGACCAGAGGTGCAGGAGTGGTGAGAGGCTTCACCAGAGACAGAGTGGGGAGCAGAACAGGCCGACTGATGAAGTACACTGCTGAGGGGAGTAGCAGGCGGGTCAGGAGAGGTCTGTGGTGCCATGTGCATCACCTCTGGGTGGGGATTGAACTCATGCTGAAGTGGCTTTAGCTTCTGAGTGCTGCGCTTTCACCTGCTGTGCCACCAGGGAGGGCTCAGTTTCTGCTTGTAAACAGCCCTGTGACTTTGGGCAAGTTAACACTCCATGCCTCGGTTTCCTCATCTATAAAATACAGATAACAGCAGTACCTATCTCATCAGGTACTGTTGTGATAATAAAATGAGATTATGCCTGTGAAGCTCTCAGAACAATGTCTGACATATGGTAAGCCCAGACTGTCAATTTTATTTGTCTACATTGTCCCTGGTAGGTAGACAACCAGCTGGAGAAGAGGTGAACCTGTAGTTCTCTGCTAGTAGTCTACAGGTAACAGAGGACAGTGACCTGGAGTTACTTTTCTGAGCCCTTGGGGTCATGGTCATATCAGAGTTTATGAGGGTCTCTGGAGTTTAGGCTAAGTTTCTACTCTAAGTGCAAATTGTTAAGCACCAAGCTTGTTCTTCAAGGAGCTACACCCCACCAAGGACCTCTGGGGAAACCAGGGAACTGACTGTATAACATGTGGATTGTTCTTTATTTCTGTTTTGGTTTTGACAGGAAACAGCAAGAGATTGACTCCAAAGATGCTATTATTTTGCATCAGTTTGCAAGACCTAACAATGGTGTTCCCAGTTTATCTCCTTTCTGTTTGAAAATGGAAACTTATTTAAGGATGGCAGACTTACCTTATCAGGTACTTGTATGCAATTTTTTCCCCTCATGATATGATCTTGGTTAGAGGGGGAATATTTTAACCTCACATGGTGGGAAGGACTTGTTCTTGGTGTGAGAGAAGAATGCCCAGTTCTTAGTAGATTCCAGGTTTGCTGATCTTACATCTGATTTAATGAGGGACCCAATGGTTGGAGACTTATGGAGGGCTGAGTGCAGAGTATACTTTTACCTGACACCAGAGTATACTTTGGTGAATATCAGTAGCTCAGCTAGGCCTCTGAGTGTGCCATTGCCTGGTGTGGTTTTTTTCCCTTAGGTTTCTATTTATGACAGCATTATATTTTATCTCTCATAAATCCCAAGGGCCCAGCCAACCACTAGGGAGAGAGTGTTGATTCGTGAGAGCTTTTCCTCTCACAGTGCTCCATGTTCTGTTTGAGTGACTTTCAGGGAAACACTTGCTCACTTCAGCATTACAGAATGAACCAAGGAATGTATTGAAACATAAACATTTTCTCCGAGTAATGAATGCTAGAGTTGGGTCTTCCAGATTTGACAGTTTTTATTTCTGTTGTCAGTCAGTTCTGTAGATTTTAAAAAATATCTTCTATGTCTCCTTTTCATCTAAGTTCTATCCATATGCAGTTTTTTAAAGAAGCTTTGACTTTTGCTATGGTTTTAAAAATTTTATGATCTTTGTGATATTTAATTTTTTGGCATATACTAAGGCTTTAGTCCAGTGTGTGGCTACTTATTGTAAAGGATGAGAATGTGTATACATTCTCTGTTTGAGTCTAGAGCTCTTTACACTTACTTGCCTGAGTATGTTTAATATTTTATTTCAGTCGACATTTCTGTTTTATTTTTGTCTGTCTGTCCTAGAACTTTCCAAAAGTAGCGGGCTGAAATACCTGTATTTGTAGATGTCTTTCTTTTCCTGCCCTTCTGTGAGTTCTTGCTTTATGTAAGAGAATACATGCAGTTATTTTGCTAGGTGTATAGTCTATGAAAAGCCCTATCTTTCACTCCTTTGTTTCTTTACAGTTTGTATCACTCATCTTTTCTTGCTATGATATTTTTGTAACTTTAGTTCTGTGTTATCAAATATTGAGCCTGATGCTCCAGCTTTCTTTCTGTTCATGTTTGCATGGGACCTCTTTATTCATCCTCTTTCTCAATTTTTGTTTGTTTGCTTAATTGTTCATTATAGGCAATGCATTGGGTTGTTGGAAAACTCATGACGCATTTTTGCTTGAAAAACAGAACTACATCATGACTTTTCTGACACCCCACTATTACTTGTAGCCTTCATAAATGTTTCTAAATGAGGTCTTCATTTCATTTTAATTCTGGGATGTTATCAATTTTCTTCAACTCTTTCCTTATCATTTTTTGTTTTCCCCTTCTTTCTTGTTCTCTATTATTCAGATATTGAAACCTCTAAATTTATTTCCACCTTTTTTCTCCGTTTGGCCAGAATTCTCCTTTATGAATTTAGGTTGCATTCTCTGTTCTTCTCTTGTACTGCTCACTCTGTCATGTTTTTTATTTTGACACTTAATATTTTTCTTCTTAACAATTTCCCTTGGAACATATGACTGATTTCTTCCTTTATCTCTTGGAGGGTATTTACAATGCTAACTAAAATACTAGTTCTGCCCCAGTGGGTCAGCTTCATGTTGTTTATATTCAGTCTGTTGTCCTTTCCTCACACAGGTGTTCACCTCAGATGTCTGGTTATTTTGCTTTGAGAGCTCCTTTTACTAGCAATATCACCCTCCCTGCTTGGGATTTCCTACTGGACAGAGGCTAAAGCTCAGCCCACGGGTTGTGTTCCCCAAGGACGTTTAAGAAAAGGAAGGAGGTGAGCCTCAGGCTTCCTCTAGCCTCTGGTTCTTCTGGTTTGCTGCCACTCCTCCAGATGGCTGCACTGGTCAGGGGTCCACCTTGCGTCCTCACAGAGTCACAGCACGGGGAGCAGTGGTCTCCTTAGCTGGTGTCAGAGTAGCTGGGAGGTAGGAAGGGGTGGGCTCCTCACTCAGTCAAGGTTTTGGCCACCCCCACAAACACATTCACTACCCCTGCATCTCCTGACTCCAGGGAGCCTGCTCTGTCTGAGCCAGTTTCTCGGTAGAAGCGGACATGGGGCTGGCAGTCGTCCTCCCACGGCAGTGCTGGTTGAAGTGACTGGCGAGCACTCAGCGTGGTAGTTCTGGTTGTGGAGGTCCTCTGGGAATGTGGTAGAATGGCAACAACCCTGAACTTCAGGTGGGAGAGTCAGGGAGGACATCTCCTTCTTAGGGTATAAAGAAGAGGTCCTTGTTAGGGGGAGCTGGAATGTCAAAGGTGTCACTGGAGACAGAGAAGGGAGAAGATTCTTCAGGAATTTCTAAACCAGCAATGGAGGAGAAAATAGCAGTAGAAACAGACAAAGCTTGAATCACCTATTGCCTGGATCAGATTGGAAAGATCATGGTTGAGTTTGGTGCGGGCAGGCAGCACTCAAGGTGTGTCCTGGGGGCTCAAGTCCAGGGAAGAGCTTCCCATCTCTAGTGTAGCACCTCTCTTGACCAGCCGCCTCTGTTGGCCTTGACAACTGTGGGCCGTTTAGGGTCCAGACCTGAGTTTAGGATATACTGGTTCTGATGACTTCTATATTTTGTGTGTCCTCTCCTTGAAGGAGCTTTCAGTATGCAGAGCCTGCTGCAGCTGCCAGACAGTTCTGCCTCTCACTATCTTGCCTTCCAGCTGGCATGTGCCAGCACCTGTCTTCACCAGCAGCCTGACCACCTGTGCGCAGGTTTCAGGGTAGCTGCTGTTTGTGGTTGGGGCAGGAGCAGCAGGCACTGGCTACGCTGTGGAGTCTGAGGAATGCTAGCCCTGTCCAAAACTATTATTCTTAAGCATATTTTTTAAAAAGGAATGTAGATGAATGCTATTTGTTCTGTGAGGTCTGTGAAAAATAAATGGAGAGCTCAGTGGGTAGCAGAGTGTTTTGGTGAAAAGAAAATGGCTCTGTGGTCTAGAAAGGGCAGTTCTCTGCCTGTCAGGCACCTCGTGCCCGGGCGCTGTCGAGAGGGTTTGTGTTGGAGTGTGTGGTGCTTGGGCAGGCCTGGTGGAGTTCATTCCTCAGCTTCTCAGGACAGAAGTGTTTAGTCATCGACCCAGGAAGCCTTCCTCTCACCCTTCCTTGCCCTGTGCCTTTTAAAAAAAGATGAAAATACCATGTTCTCAAAAGCATGACTTTATACTTGAAGCTTTTTTATTTTCTAACTCAGATGAGACTGGAATAAATATTTGATTGGTAGGAACTCCCACGGCTTTTCTTAAAAGCTGGATAGGTTGTCACAGTTACTATTTTTTTTTTTAAATTAGGATATACATTTGGTAGGTCAATTAAAAACCTTTATTTTATAATTACATATTCATAGGAAGCTGTAAAACAGAAGGGACTATTAACTTGGGTTTTTATTTTTTGTTTTTTTTTTTTAAACAAAAATAGCTCTACTGCCTTGCTATTGAACCAAGGAGTTTGCTGCGTTTTCCTCATATAAACCAATATATACGACATCTGAGTTTTAATATAAGTGTTCAATTGCAGAGTTGATAGAAACCCAAGCTCAAATTTGTCTTTCCACTAAGGAAAGGGAAGGGGATTTGTTTATTTTTAGGGAATGGGGTGAAGAATGAAGGAGTTGTCTTTTATTGGCTAAGAAATGGGCTCAGGGCAAAGGACTGTGGACTGTGGCTGCTGTCTACTGGAGAGTTACAAATCAAAGAGGAGAGGTCTTCTTTTAAATGATTGGATCACCTTAATGGGTGGACCCTTCCCCACAAGTGTGGCCCCAGGGGGCCCTTTTACCTGTCTTCTCTCAGCATCTTCTTGGTTTGGCCCACCTTGGAGTTTAAGTTCAATCATTAGTGCCCTTGTGGTTGGTGTGACTCCTACATCAGCTTACACATGGTTGCTTCTGATATGATTCAAATACAAACTCAAAAGATAGTTAATTAAATCTGTTCCTGCTGATGGATTGGCCAAGGAGTTGCTTTTTCTGATTACATAGAGGTGACCTGGTCTGCATTAAGAATTTCAAACAATTCAAGAAAGAGGAAAACCAACATTTTGCCAACTGAAGATTACATCACTGATACATGTATATATTTTAAAGATTTGCTTATTTATGCATACAGAGCTAGGGTATAGGCCAGTGGTGCCGGGACAGTGAGAGGATTCATCAGAGACAGTGGGGAGTAGAACAGGCAGATCAAGTGAAGCACACTGTTGAGGGGAGCAGTGGGTGAGATAGACTGAAGAGGTCTGCTGTGCCATGTGGGTCACTTCCCTGGCCAGGGATTGAATTTGACATCACTGATATTTTTGACGTCATATAATTCCCTAGACATAAAGCCACCTTCATCATTTGGCACAATTCATTATATCAGAAGTATGTATTCACTTAATACCTTTTTAAAAATTAGATTAAAAGAGAAAGTGGTTCCTTTGGGACTCTGCTTTTGTTCTCATCCCTCACTTTTGAGGTATTTTTTTTTGTTTTTTTTTTTTTATATAATTATTTTTGCATCATTTTGTGCATTTTTTTCATCTCAGTTGTACTCCTCATGGGTTTCCCATCACCAAATCACACTGTGCCATCACCATAGTCCAGTGTATTTCCCTCCCCCCACTATTTTTGATCCCATTTCCCACTCCACCTCCATAATATGTCTCTGGATTACAGCTATTCATTATTATCATTATTTTCTCTGGTCTGTTCTACTTCTGCTGTGAGTGAAACCATCTGGTATTTTTCCTTTTCTTTCTGGCTTATTTCACTAAGCATGATCTTCTGCAGCTCCATCCATGTTGCTGCAAAAGACATATGTTTCTCTTTTTTGGTTGCTGAGTAATATTCCATTGTATATATGTACCACATCTTTCTAATCCAGTCATCTACTTTTGGGCATTTGGGCTGCTTCCATGTTTTTCCAATTGTAAATAAAGCAGGAATAAACATGGGG